GCCATTTCTGCATCCTGCCCCGCTTCTTGCAGGCTGCTGGGCACAGAGTAGGTCCTCACGTGGGTGCACTTGAAGGAGGAATGAAGGGTTCTCCCACAAATGAACCCTATAAGCCTACCCTTCTAGAATCCACCTCCTTCCTAGGAGGTAGAAATGCCTCAGAAGCTCCTGGCCAGGCCCTGAAGGCTAAAAATACTTGACACCGATACCAGAAGGTGACTAAGCTGCTGATTCAAGAAAACCAACTTCCTCTTCCAAAATGGTCGCCTAATGTATTATCAAGTTGTTTTGCCCAGACAAATCCTGGCCTCACACTTTCCTGCCACCTTTGCACACTTCTTCAAGGGCTGCCAGTTTGTCTCAAATACTTTTTCTGTTCTTGTATCTTTTTCTTCTGTTGCTGTCTCAGGTAGTATCTGAAGGATCTGTACTAGCCCCTTAACGCCTTGACCAAGAGACCCTGACCACACGTGGGCAACATCCATGGACCACATTCTCCCATCCTCAAACCAGGATACGGTCATTTGAAATCTGGGCTGTCCCAGAAAATCGGGGATATATACTCAGTGTATTTATGACAACCAACACTAAGCCCTGATCCATTTTCAACTTAAGTGGTTTTAATAACTACAAACATATGGGAACCAAAAACACTGAACAAAGCTTAAGTGTATCTGACTGTAGTTGTTTTCACAGGTGGGGGTGACCAATTCCTGTAATTTTCTAATACAGTATTAATTTCAAATGTTCTGTTAGTGGAAACATTTTTAATGCTGAATATTGTGATTCTTTTTATGTTGTTGTATTGTTTTCAATAAAAGCAGTTCTTTATGTGTATAATGAAGGATGATGTTTTCTACACCACGGTAAGACTTTCCGTCTACAATAACAGACCAGATGGCTGCATCAGCGGAGCGCAGTCCTGGAGTCATCCCAGCCCAGGTGCCAGGTAGTGAGGGAAGAAGCCTCCAGAAGATCCCAGCCATTTGGGTCTTCTCAAACAGAGCAAAGACAAAGCATCCCGCCATGCTGTCTGAATTTCTGACCTATGAGTTCATGAGTGTAAAAAAATGGTTGTTTTATACCAAAAAAAAAAAATCACAAGCCAGAGTAAAACTCTCAGACCATTTCCCCTAGTTTATTGTGTGAAAGTGCAATTATCACTGAAGTTTGAGTTGAAGAGAAGGGGTATCTTCCCCCAGAAACTTCCAGACTGGAAATTCTCAATTTTCTAATGGTTGGTGGTCCCTAATCCACTAAGAGCAGACGTTATTCAACCACATGGGGTCATGCCCACGCCCGTGGGGAGCTCTCTACTGTGCAAAGCAAAAGATGACCTAGTGGAAGAGATTCCAAGAGGTGGGCCTCAGGAACAATGAATGCTGGGTTTCAAACACCCTTTCAAGCATCCTGGCTCCGGGACTCTTCCTGTCACTGACATTCTCTGAAGCACGCCTAAGGCCCTGGAATCATGGGCTTCATCCTCTGTCAAAGGCCAGGTTTACGAGCCTTCAAGGTATGGCACTACATCTGCCAGGTTTGTTGAACTTTGTGTGACTAATACTGGTGCTAGAGCTTGGGGCTGAACAGAGAGAAGAGTACTTAAGTTTGATTGTCAAATTTTAGATGTTCATCAGGATGCAGAGGCCTAAGCAATGGATGTATTTTGGTTTTGCTTTATGACTTTAGATAGGAACCAAAACTTACTGTACATCTCCAGACTGGAAAGAAGTGCTTCCGGGTCAGCATCCAAAGCAGTTGCTCCCTGAGGGTAACTTCTGAGTCCCTCTTCCACCCATGATCACAAATCACGTTGAGAACTCTGCTACGATTAAATGCCAAAAACCCTACAAACTTCACTTCAGTTCATCTGGGTCACCCAGCAACACCCTCCCCTCTTATTTTTCTTACAAACCCACAGTCTTTCTGGTTTCAGCATCAATTTTACCTTAATTTTCAGCCTAATATCCTCAGCCAAAAGGCTAAATCAGAGTGTCTCGACGTTTTCCAGTATGTGACACTCATAGGGATTTTATGGGAGAGAAGGAGACAGACAGACAGACACAGAGACAGACAGAGTCAGAGACAAAGAGAGAAGAAGGAATTTCTGTGTAGAGAAGTTGAGATCATTTAAAACTTTTACTTATTCTACTAGTTCTGGGGACATGAACAATTCACTAAATAAAATTATTTTATAATGACTGAAGAACAGTCAACTGAGGATCTTTAATATCATTTTATAGAATAATTCACTGCATGAGTTTCAAAAGAAAGAACTCAAGCAGTATATGCTAGCCATTGGGTGTGGATTCCCCTCAATCCTGTACCTGAGAAACTTTTTATTTATGGTACTATTTCACAGCTCTTTCGCTCTAGAATGTATTCTGTGGTCACTAAGAAGTTTAATTATCTTTATCTCTAACCTTAATTCTACAATATTGACCAGGTACATTTTTTAGAAAGTGGCTTATTAATTTATATGTTCATTCATTGTAGCACGCTGGACAGTGACATAGCTCAGAGCCTCTCTCATCTTTCAGTTACCCTCTGGGCCAGTTTCTTGTCTCTGCCTATTCAAGAGTCAGTCCCCATTCCTGTCTCCCACTCCAGTAGATGGAGTAGGATGTTTTAGTTAGACTCTGATCTGCAAGTGCATTAAAGGTCACAGCAGAGCTGTCGAAGCCAACCATGGGTCCATCAGACCAGTGAAAGACAATCTTGGAAACAGCAAATATTTCATCTTTCTCCTTCCTCCTATCCACTTTCTCCTCATTCTCAGGAACCCAGTTAGTTCATGGAATAAGTCTTGTTTTGTGTTTTTCCTCGAGGACTCAGACAAGGCCCACACCCAAGCTGTGCCTTCTCCTCTGGCTTGCTTCACCTCCTACACCCCTTCTCTGATGTTGGAGGGCACTTAACATCCACACCATATAATTTGGTTCTTGATTACATACTGTCAACTGTGTTGACAGTTATATCACAGGTGTTAGTCTTGCCTTCACTAAGAGAAGCTCCTGGAAAGGTGCTTCTCATTGACAATAGCTCCTGGCACTGTGCTCTGCTCATAGAAGGTACTCAATAGATAAACACCTGCCTTTATATCAAGTCTTTCCCTGGGAGGGTGGTGAGAGGACTCAGGCAACCAACCCATGGCAGGCCAGGCTCTGAGCTGAGTGGCAGCCCCTGGTTTCCCTGAGGCGTCCTGCAAGGCAGTGATGTCAACACTGCATTCCATGGACATGCCCAAGACCAGTCTGGAAGGCCCCTCTGGCCTCTCCTAGCCCTTGAAAAATTCAGTTTCTTTGGAAATCCCTCCTCCTCCAGGCCCTCCACAGCACCCCTCTTTGAATGTAATTTGAAGATTTTGTGAAATGGGTACTTTTTCTCTCCCTCCCTGCTACAGAGCACAGTACCCAGCATCTAAAATGATCAAGTCTGGCTGCCAGGTTGGATGAACGAACAAATTGTTGAACTATCAGACAGGAGGGTGAGTAGGTGGTGGGTGAATAAAAGAATGAACTCTTGCCAGAAGTGCCCTGGAATGGAGCCCTCCAGAGGACAGAGATTCCTACTTGTTCAAGATGCCACTGGGATTCCATTGACTCTAGAGGGTGAAATTTTTTTCAAAAATTCATAACTTAGAAACTAGAATATTTATGAACATGTAATCAAAACATAGCGAGACACTTACAAGGATAACTCTGCAATTTGGTACACATAAACATATTCATTTATGCCTAGGTGCTAGGTAATAAATTTTTGAAATGTTCAACGTTTCTTATTCACCACCTGTATTAGAGGGCCATTACTTCCCTCAGCTGAAAACAAAATATGTCTGCTATCACCATCAATATTCTTTAACCTTGAACTTGAAGGAAACTTTTAAAGGAACAGGGCTGGGAGAGCTTAAGATCTTTCCAGAGTTTCTTAGCCTTAGCTGCATATTTGAATTACCTGGGGAAGCTTTTAAAAGTCTTGACGCCCAGATTTGATGTAATCAAATCTATTACATTAGAATCTCTGGAGACAGGACCCAGGCATTGGTTTTTTTTTTTTTTTTCCTTTTTTAAAACATTTTTTTTCTTTTTCTTTTTAGGTTTTGTTTTTCTTCTTTATTTTTTTTTCTTTTTTGATTTGGAATCCATATTTTTAAAGCTCCCCAAGTGATTCCCATGTGCAGCCAAGGCTGAGAACCACTGTTTTAAGCTACATGCAACTGAGACTGATGAACAGCCTTAGTGTGCAAATGTGAGGGTTTTATGTTCCCGGTAAGAATCGGGTCTGAAACCAGCCAGTGTCCTCGTTCTGATCCCTCTTCATCATCTCCTTCTTCCTTTACACCTATTTTTGTCTTGGCAGTCATGAATGGCTCATGGGCATGTCCGTGAGGATTCGAGTTCAGGTAAACTATGCTGTCATTTTGTGAAAGCTGTACTTTTCCACTCATGAACTGAACTTCTGTGCCTAAAAGGAGTTTCAGGAATTTAGAAAAGCAGATGGTTGAAATAAATCCTAAGGAGGCTGCAAACCACCCAGACCCAGAGCTGGCCATTCCTCCAAATCATAGGAATGGTGAGAAACACAAGCTGTGCGGCCACCCCACCCTCGGTCAGTGAACACGTCCCCTCCCCGTTCTGTACTCTGACCATTGCCCTCGTAAAAATCCCAACCACTCTGCGCTTGGGGAGTCAGTCTTTTCAGTGCTCCCTCCTGCAGTATCTTTGCGTTGCCTTCAACCCTAACTAGTCTGTTTCTGCTTTGACAGTTTGGTTTCTGGGCTAGGTCATTTCACTGGATCATTTGGAAAAACAGTGTCTGGGGATGCCCACCAAAAAGGTAAATTTTCCTGGAATTGTGTAGTAGTTGAGTATGGAGGTGGACACAGGGAGGGCAGACCATACCATCTCGTCTTCCATTCCCATCCATTAATTCTTCCGATGCCCACTAACTGGGCAGGGCTCCTGCAGTGGGTTGAACCAAAAGACTTCACAGAACACCAGTGGGTTGCAGTTATGTATTCGGTTTCTTATGTAGCTGAATAACACAGGTCACGGGAGGGGGAAGAGAAACACTGGAAGAGCTGCCTGGCTGGAGTACGGACGTCTACTAAGTCATGAGTTCCTACGCTTTACAAAATCATCTTCCTACAGGAAAAGCGGCTCCCACAGGGATAGCAAGGGTTGCAAGGGTCACATGGGCTGCAGGGGCTACAGGGGCTGCAGGGGTTACAGGGGTTGCAAGGGTTGCACGGGTTGCAGGGAGAGATGCAAGGGTAGCATGGAGACTCGATCTTGACGCAGCTGCCGAGTCCGTAGGAGTACGTGACGTCTTTCTCGTCCACACACGGGGGCAAGCTGAACTCCTTGCAGATGTTCATGTAGCTGTACTTTTTCGACCCAAGGCAATCGTACCTGTTCTCCCGCTCAGCTGACACACACACCTTTCCGTCCTTCACCCGAACTTTGACTTGATCAGGTTCAAAGCCGCACACGTTCACCGATCCTAAAATGTTGCTGCTACAGCAAGAGGAGGCCAGAATTCTATTGGTTGTTCTTCTCAGTCTGGAATTTAGAAAAAGGAAAGGTGGGAGGAAGAAGCTCAGACCTTGGAATTCAGACACGGCTTGAGAAGCAATGCTTTGAACTCTATTTTTTAAATAGCAAGAGTAAATACTCGTCACTGTGAAAAGGCAAACGACGGAAGTGTATTAAGAAAAAAATGAGAGTCCTCCCGTGTAAACCACACTCTCCCACAGGTAAACCTCTGTTAACAACAGATGGGTGCTTGGCCTTCCAGATCTTTCTCTTGTATTTAAGTCCTAGCTCCTCCTTTTAGTAGCTGTGGAACTTTGGGCAGTTTCCTTAACCTTTCGGTGCCTCAGTTTCCGTATCTGTAAAATGGAGATAATAATAATACCTACATCATAGGGCTATTGGAGGATTAGATGAGATTGTGGATTTTGCTTAATGCTGTGCTTGGCACATTGTAAATCCTGCTTAATTATTATCATGATCGTTATTATTACTACTAGTATATGTAGACTCTTAGAGTTTTGTTTTTTTTTTAAAGGGGATCAACTAATAAGATACCATTTAAAATCTGCATTTTAAATGTGTCTGTCAGCCTGAGAACCCAGCCCTGCTGATCCACAGGACTAGTGCCACCGCTGGGCCGTCACACAGACTCAGCCTGAAAGCTTCGTCAACAAACACAAGGCAGAAGTGCCCCAGCCCAGCTCTGCCCACCCAGGCCTGTCTCGACCTGCTGCTGTGAGGCTGCTCCAGACTCTGGACGGCTGGGACCAGCGGGAACAGTCAGCCTGGAGGAGCTGTGCGCTGGATCCAGGTCCTACCAGCTTGTAAGGATGGTTGTGCACATCTCTCCCCACCCCCTCACTCAGGGCCTTCATGTTGATGGCTTGAGACAGCCGTGGTGGGAATATTTACACCATGGAAATCGGTAAACACTGCAAATCAGGGCTTTTTGTGTCTTCCCACCCATCTACCCCTCACATTGCTGGTTGTTCAATACCACTGCCTGTGGCCCCTGGAGCAGCACACATAGACCTCCATGGTTCCCACAGAGCTGCCTTGTTGCTGCTCAGCAGTCCTGCTGTGTGAATCCTCAATAATAAAACAATAATCATAGCCGCTCATATTGATTGATCACTTACAATACATCAGGGGTAGTAAAGCCAAGTGCCCAAAAGCACAGACTCCGGAGCCAGAGTTTTTAGGTTCAAATCTTGGCCTTGCCATGTGGACAAGTTATTTAACCTCTCTGTGCATCATTTCCTCATCTGTAAAATTGGGACAGTAGTAACCTACGTTTAGGGTTGTTGTGAGGCTTAAATTAGTTAATGAATGAAAAGTATCTATAATAGTGCTTGGCACGTGGTTAGGATGTTAGGGTTCTGTGTTTTTTTTTTTTTTTTACAATGTGCCATGGAAAGTGCTAATCCATTAAGGCATTGTTTCATTTAACCTTCACAATAGCCCTGTAATGCAGGTGTAATCATCACTTTTTACAGATGGGGAGACAGTAAAGGTGGGGAATGGCGGAGCCTAGATTCAGATTCAGGCCTGTTTAATGCCAGTCAAACTGATCGTTATGATTTTAATGATCAGTTTGACCGAGCTCGTGTAATGAAAACCCCCCACTCTTGGTGATGGCAGCCTGGCACTCCTCAGGGTCCATTTTCCTTCTAATTGTCTGATCCTTCCAAAGGCAACCTAATGCTCTGAAATGGTCTTCTTTGTAACCCTTAATATTAGAAAAAACAAAAAACAAAAAAACCACCCCTCTATGTTCTAAGAGACACTCCTGGCAAATCTTCCTACATCTCTTGGCCTCCAAAGGGAGCTCTTGGAATGTGTGATTTCTAGAACCTCTTCCAGTTTGAGGAGACTGGACTCTAGGATTGGTTGATTGGTTTGAGATACATTTTTAATTTTTACTTTTTATGCTGAATTTTGTATGTTAACTTCTTTTTGTTACATAAGTTGTGCAAGTTCGTTGTAGAAAACTGAGAAAATACAGATAAGCAAAAAGATGGAATATTTTTACAATATCCATAATCTTAACATTTTGGTGTTAGACTTTCTTCTGCATGTGTGTGTGTTTCTATATACATATAGAGTTTTCTGTGTGTTCTTATGAGATCATGCTATACATACTGCTTGGCTCTATTTTTCACTTGATAAGCGCTAACATGATTGGTTTAACAACAGCCTGAGCCCTTGTACTGAAGCTTACAATCCCAGACTTAGTGGCTAATTCCAAAGTGATCAAATAGAATGGAGTCCTAGAAGAAGCTGAGGCCAACAGAAAATATGTGCAAGGCACCCAGAGGACTGTGAGTCATTCAGCTCCTCTTCTACCCCTGGCCCCAAGGAACCTGGGGGTGGCATGGGACACAGACGTCTTTCATGCCCCGGGTGTGCCAGGGTACCCGTAGGCTGTACTAAGGAGAAAGGAAGAGAATGGTACTTTCTTTAAAACCTTTATCTCTGTGAGAAAAACAGAAGAAAAGCACTCAGTCTTCCTAGATGGTCAGAGAATAGCTCACAAAGATGCATCATGCCCTCTCTGGAGGGACCACTGGCTCGAAGCCCCAACAGCCAAGGCCAAGGGTGAAGCGCAGAGCAGAACAGGTGCCTCCTGGATTTCTCAAGAACCTCCCATGATGAGTGTGACGGCTGAGAGTCAGAGTTCTTCTCTTCGGCTCAGACCTTCCACTGGAAGATGAGAAACATCAAATCCTGCCATGAAGACAGGACGGGGCCTCACAAAGAAGGGCCCTCCAGCTGCTGCCATGCTGATTCCACCAAAACTCTCCTGCCCTCAGCAGGAGATGGGTCTGGGATCTACAAGCCAGAGCCAGCTCCTCCTCTTAGCAACCTGAGTCTTGGAGTACAATTTCATGTATTTTATTGCTTAGATCCCCCCTTCCTCTATTCCTGTCACTCTGGCCCCTCTGCCCCTACAGCAGCGGCACAGGGGTCTTGCCAGTGTAGATCTTCAGGAAATTGCCTAAAAAGTCTTGGCCAGCTCAGCTTTCTTCTTCCTTTTGCCCCTAGGTCAGGGAGTATCAGTGGTGATGTGTGGGTTTAGGAGAAATTGCAGGAGCCACATTTTACTCATCAGACTCAACTCTGAACTTACAACTTGACTCCTGCCTGGCGATGTACCCATTGCCTCACGTGGGGTTTTCCACGGCTCTGTGGGGTTCTAGGCAAAGGGCTATTGCCTCCTATACCTGTGATCATGAGAGGGGAGCTTAGCCACAGTACATGTGGGGAAATCAGCCCCTTTGGTTTGCGGCAGAAGCCTCTTAGGAAAGCTGGGGAAGAGCGAGTGGGCAGCCGGTGTCTGCGTCTGCCACTCGGGGCCGCCACCTCTTCTCCCTGCTGAAGCAGGATTTCACCTGTGTGTACGTCCAAGCTCCTGAATGTGAAACATGTTGCCCACAGCAATGATGAGCAATACAGTCAGCCATCTTCACAAGACATAAATCAGATTCAGCCTGGTGATGGGTAAAGTAATGAAGCGTCAAAAAGGCCTATCTCTACCAGGGAGCACAGGGAGGCAAGCCCTCCTCTAGCCGTCCTCTGAGAACTTTGCTTTTCCTAATTGAGACCCCTTCCAAAGACCCGTTGAACGCGTTTCCTCCTTTCCAACACATCTTTCCTTTTCTCTTCTTTCTTCTCCCTCTTTCCTTCTTTTTCTGCCTTGTCTCTCCTTTTTAGACTTTTGGATGATACTGAAGAACAATGTCACTCAGCAGGAGCAGAGTAGCACAATACAGGTGCATCTGGGTCCCCTGCAGGGCTTGTCAAAACACAGGTGGCTGGGCCCCAGGCCCAGAGTGTCTGACTCAGCAGGTCTTGGGAGGAGCCAAGAATCTGCATTTCTAACAAGTTCTAAGTGATGCTGTTGCTGCTGGTCCAGAGGCCACTCTGAGAACCACACACCAGGTAGTTAAGTGCATGGATTCTGGCCTCAGGCAAACCCAGCTTCAAGTCCCAGGTCTACCACCTCCTAGTGACCAAGAACATTGCTGCTGAATCTGTTTCATCATCTATAAGTTGGCCAAGATGTTACGAGGATTAAATGAAGATGAAGTGCTAGGCACACAGTTTTCACTCAGTAAAAGGTAAGTCTCTTTATCACTGTACCAGGCTCCTCCTTACACAGATTTCCCCAAAACCTGAGGCTTTAAGTCACCAAGCCCGAAGTCTTGTATCATTAAACAATAAGGTCAAACCAAATAACAGACATGCACTTGGCCTAGATGGGCAGGAACTCCTACCCCTGCAGTTGTGAGGTGACTGGGCTCCGAGACCTGTGGTATGAAGAGATTACCATGAGAGAGGACCAATGTGGCCCAACTCGCTTCCGCCTCTGCAGGGACACAGAGGGAAACAGGGGAGCTCTCATCTCAGTGGGAAAGCCCACCTTTCACCAGCCATAAAGCCCCCAGGATTCCTCTCTGCGGGCTTCCCACACTTAGCTATGCCCTGACCTGTGGGCCAGAGAATGGAGGGGAGGAAAGAGCTCCCTAAGGGCGTGGACCGGGGGAGGCACCGCTAACAGGCAAAGAGCACAGCCTGACGCTGACAGGCATCCGCCTCACTGAGTAAGAGTGATCCAATGGAAACCTCGTACTCAGTGTGAAAGGGTAAACAAGAAAACAAATGAGAAGGCAAATTTCTGAAGTTTTCAGAAGATGGTGCCCCTGGTGTGGGGGTTTTCAGGGGAATTTCTCATTGAGCTTCAGGCCAACCACAGATGCTCCGGTAAGAGGAGGGACGCACACTCTCAGGATGAGTTTCCAGGTACCCATAAAGGGTGCGAGTTGAGCCCAATACACCCCTACGTGTGGCTGCAAATCGGGCTTCATTTGTCCACAAGGACTAGCGCCACATGTCAGAGCTGCAACAGGGCATCCATTAATTAGGTAATCAACTCCTACAGGCGGGACTGAGGGGGGGCTGGCTTTTGTTTGTTTCTGCCACTTTAGAACAGAGGACAGGAAGCCCACGGAGCGTGGTGGCGAATCAGGGGCACACTGAAGTCAGGCCGGTGCGTGGCTTACTACAAAGGCCACCAAACTCAGCTACCTCAGTCGCTCTAAACCCAGAAGAGGAAGGAAGAGTCTGGGAAACTGCTAGTGTTTGCGGTGCAAAAGGTAATTTGAGGAGGAAAAGAGACTATCAAAGAGACTAAAGGAACAAACGTACTTACTTGAGTCTCTACTAAGGAAGATACTGCCCAGGTGTCTTTTGAAACATCTGCTCAGTCAACAATGGAAGTGGATTGGACCTTCTATACGCAGTCTAAAAAAACACAACACACGCTCACATGCGCTCACACACACACTCACACCCCCCAATCAAATAACATATACTCAGGAATGCTCAAGAAACTTATATTGGGAATTGAATTGTTGGCCAAGACTTCCTACCTGTTATTAAGGGAGCACCCAGAGACAGAGCAGATTGACTCTCACACAGAAAACAATTCCAATGGGGCCATGGCAACCACAGACCAGGGAATCTTACTTTCCACTTGAGCAAAGAACCTTCTGGACAACACAGTCTGGCATCTGAAAGGATATGTCATGTCTAACTACTAGCCTCCTTTAAAGGGGTAAAAGATCATGTGACTATGATTTCTGAACTGAAAAAGCCTCGGGCAAGGTTTCACACCAAAGATTGTTTAAAAAATTGAATCAACATGATATTTCTAGATCTATTTGGCCATGGATTGGGAACTAACTGAGAGAGAAGAAAAAAGAGGCATTTCACTGGAAGAGAAAATATTAACAGCGGGAGTCCTCTGGGATTGGGGCTGGATCAGAGTTTCACATTTTCATCCATATTCAGGAAAATTGAATATTTAGGTTTGCAGGTGACACTAAGCCCTTCTGGATGGTGAAATGTCAAACTGTCAGAAAGAGAGCATAGGAGGGTTTCACGAGGTGGAATGAATGGGAAGAAAAGTGGCTGGGAGGAGATCCAAGAGGGCAAGCCTGAGGTCATTTCTAAAACAGACTTGGGGTTATCACTTCGGAGATCCAGGAGTTAATGTAAAGACATCACCAGCTTCACATACTGCTGCAGGCACAGAAAAAATCAGCAAAAATCAGACACTGTCAGCAAAAGTATCACTAACCGGAGAAAACGTTACCGTGTGTATAAATCACACTGCTGAGAACTAAGCTTGAAATTGTGTCTTCTGCACACCAAGAAATCAGGCCTCCTGGAGGAGGCGGAGGGCTCCCAGATGGTAAAGAACAGAGAGGCGTTCTCACCTGGAGAGTCTGGAGAGTAGGGACAGCCAGGAGACACAGGCTGTAAGGACTTGGATCCAGGGTAATCAAGTAGTCAAAGGTCAGGGAGAGTGGACACAGGCCAGCCTTTATTAACCCTTCATTTAGACCAAATATTAAAAAAGAATCCCTGGCTCACAGAGTGCCCAATTTATGTAACTTGGTGCTCTTAGGAGTAAAAATAAAATGGGTTCAAACTGAGTGTAGATGAGTTTACAGGCAAGAGCCCCATCCCAGATTATTGAGGGAGGTCCATTCGTGTGACCTTTGGTGACTGATGACCTGGACAATAATTGCCTTATTGCCCTTTCCAGTGAAGCATCACTGTCACTGTTGTCAAGGGTCTCTCTCTCTCTCTCCATCCACCCTCTATCATTCTCTATCATCTATCTATCTATCTATCTATCTATCTATCTATCTATCTATCTATCTATCTATCTATCTACCTACCTACCTACCTACCTACCTACCTCTCTCTCTCTGTCTACTTACCTATCTATCTATCTGTCTATCTATCTATCATCTATCTATCTATCTACCTATCATCTATCTATCTATCTTTCTATCATCTATCTACCTATCTATCATCTGTCTGTCTATCTATCTATCTATCTATCTATCTATATCTATCTAATCAATCTCTCATCAGGACAGGACAGATGTTGTTTAAGGGCACAAACTTGCAACAAGTAGTAAATAAATCCTTGAGATCTAATGCACAGTATAGTGAATATAGACAATATTGTGTTATAATCATCAAACTTGCTCAGAGACTAAAACTTAATTATTCCAACCACTAAAAAGGAATAATTACCTAACATGATAGAGGGGCTAATTATCACTACGATGGCAATCATATTACAATATATAAATGTATGAAATTAACATGTATACCTTAAATTTACACAATGTTATGTGTCAAATATATTTTAATTTAAAAAAATCTATTTGCGCACATCTTTTAAAAAATAGCACATTAAACAGTTTTTCTGCACCTTGCTTTTTTCACTTAATACACCAATATATAAAGTGCTTCATCAATCCTTTTTATGTCTATACATCACTCCAATGTATGAATGTCCCATAATTTATTTAACCAGAGACAATGCTTTCAAACATTTTTTTCATCAATAGTAACAGATTAAATGGCATATGTACAAGGTTAGAAAAGAAAAGCTTTCTCTAGGCCAAAAAAGAAAATGTACTCAAACACAAAATTTAAAAAGTGGCTTTTAAAATTATCCAATTCAATTAAAACATTTTCAACTCTATTCCGAAAGCTGCAACTCTCAGTTTCATAATTTATTGGCACAGTCTTTACAAGCATAGGGGCAGGAGGCCGACATAATAGACCCAACTCCAGATGAATTTTAAGTCTTTGTCTGGAGTTGGGGAATGGGAGATAGGTTTTCCTACAAAACCGAGGAAATGCCTCTATTGTTCAATTTGCTCCCCTGCTCTTAAAGCCTCTGGCAAACATTAAGGATTTGATCAATTATTATTACTTCTCCTGTAGTCATTTCTGTAAGTCCAAATATACTCAAATCGCTTTACTCATAACCAGAAAAAATGTTTAGTTTGCTGCTTCCAATAGCTTTTTAATGATACCCCCTGTTTCTTACCCTCATTAAAGCCACATTATTTATCATGTTGGCACCCCTGCTATAAACCAACAATAACCCTGCTGATCGACAGCATTACACTGTCTTTTGAGAATCTTACAATTCCCATCATGGATCCATTTACTCTTCTTTTCTTAAATCTTTGCTAAGTCACCAGAGTCATTATCTTGAACCCTTTCCATCTTTGTTCAAGTGTCGATTGTCACATTTTTTTCCCGTTATGCCAACTTACAAGGCTAATAGACCAACTGTAAAAATCTAAGAAAGTTTTTTACTTGGCAAGCTCTCTCTTTTCATCCTCTATGGCTCTAATGGCTTTCCTCTCCAAGCTTCTGAGAGACGGGCGAAGACAGTACAGCTTGACATCACACAGGCAACACGGATAGAGGTCGCACAGGCCGCAGGTCCGTGATCGCTTGGAATAGCACAGGCAGTACGGGTAAGGGTGCAGGTCACAGCAACAGTACGGGTGCATGTACAAGTCGCACAGGCAACGTGTGCTCAGTTCGTCGATGCATCTCAATTGCCTTAGTTCTCTGTCCACCTTCTTTATGTCCCGTCTAACACTGTCCAAAAGACAACTCAGTGCAGCCATTACAGTCACACCTTATTGTTCTGCGAGTACCTTTGGGAAATGGCACTCTGGGGGAAAAAATTGTTCTAAGCTCTTCTCAGAAGTTTCCTTTAAAAATAAATGAGGCACACATGATTCACTTACTTTAAAGCTTGTGTTCTATGACGTCACCACCCTCTAAGTATGTCATAGTCTTCTGGTTACCATGTGAACTGTACACAGTCATGGTCTCCAGAGACCCTCCTTAGAGTTACAAAGTGACTCTCAGAACCATACTAATGTTGAATTTCATTCAGCTTGAAGTTGGATGGGTTCTCCAAGCAATTACAGCTCTTTGGGTTCATGGGGCTAACCCTGAGTGGCCTTGACTTGTATACGCCCTGAGGGCTAGCTGTGGCTGTGAAAATCTTAGTGTGGGTGATGGAAAGAGCTGCCTGCTCCTTTCTCTATGCTCTTCCAGCTCTAGCCTTGACTTGACACTTAGCCTTGCTCCTTATACTCTAGGATTCATTCTGGCTCCTAGGTTCTTTCTATGTAGAATAGAAAGAGCTTTCCCATGGTTCTCCTTACCAACTTATCCTCAAGTCAGCCTTTGACCTTGACCTTCTGAGCCCCGAGTCTCTGAGTCCTGCCCATTCTTTACTAGCTGGTGTCCTGGCTATCCTGGAATCTCAGTTCTCTGGTGGCTGGGGTCCTGCTTTTAAGCTCCCATCTCTCAATGCTCAGCGTCCTGTCCTCTGTCACCACCTCCCAACAACTACACCTCTGGTCTTGCATCCAAGCCTCTAGATGCCTTGTCGTTGAGTGCTTCGCAAGTGTTGGTCCTTGATTCTCTTAGAGCCAACTGTCTGAAAATCCCACTGGGGCCAGTGTCCTGTGCTCTCAGCTGGATCAACACTCTGGACCTCGGGCTTAGCCTCGGCCTTGGCTCGCGTATTTCTACTCCTCTGGGTCTTCCTCTCAAACTGCTATCCAGCTCTCGAATCATTTTTGTGTGTGTGTGTGTGTGAGGAGATCAGCCCTGTGCTAGCATCCGCCAATCCTCCTCTTTTTTTGCCGAGGAAGACGGCCCTGGGCTAACATCCGTGCCCATCCTCCTCCACTTTATATGGGACGCCGCCACAGCATGGCTTGCCAAAGCAGTGCGTCGGTGCGCACCCGGGATCCGAACCAGCGAACCCTGGGCCGCCGCAGCGGAGCGCGTGCACCCAACAGCCACCGGGCTGGCCCCTCTTGAATCATCTTTTTAAGGACTAAGGCATAGGGTACTTGAGGGCAAGTGGTTGGATGTAATACTGAGGGAGACAAGGGCCAGGTTTGAAGGAACTTGTGGACAAGCCAAGGAGTTTGAACTTTATTTTGAGCACAGTGAAGAATCACTGATCTTCTTTTCTGTTGAGAGAAGTTGAAAGGTAAGTCCTACAGCCACACTGAAGGCCCACTGTAAGCGGACAACAGTAGAGGTGTCTTCTGCTGGAAGGCAAGAGACAGCCTAAGTCTGGCCCGGGAATCACGGCTATAGGGATGGCAGGAAGGAGCCAATGGGATGACCTTCCCCCTACATCCACTCAGGTCCCATCCAATCCATTCAGATTGCAGCCAGAGTGGTTTTCACACATAAATCTATCATCCCTCACCCCCACCCCCGCCCAAAAGTCTTCAAAGTCTTCCCTGTCCTCTTAGAAGAAGGGCAAAATCCTTATAAGTTGCTGAACAATGGGGCCTCTCCCTACCTCTCCAGTCCCCTCTGCCATCATTATTCCTGTAATTAATTATGCTTCAGCCACAATGGTCTTCCTTCAATTCTCACTCATTCCACCTCATTCAGGCCTTGTGTTCTGTTTGCTTAGAAATTGAACTCCCCATCTCATGCCCTTGATCTAGTTAATCCTGAAGGCATTCTTTAGATCTCCTCCTAAATGTCCCTTCCTTAAGGACACCTTCCCTGTCCCCTAGACTAAACACTCGTAAGTCTGCATATTTCTTTCATGACGTCACTTGTATGTTTCCCCAACTAGACTGCAAGCTCCATGAGGGCAGGGACCTTGTCTATTTTTCCCATCACTAGATACCTAACACAATGCCTGGCACATGGTGGGGTCTTAAAATTTATTCGTTGAATGACCAAATGAGTAAATTAAATAGAATTTAGTGAACAGAATGAGGATGGAATGAGGGAGAAATCAGTAACGATTCCTAGGTTTCTAGCTTAGCAGAGTTGTGGTCCATTGACTAAGCTAAGAAACATAGGAAGAAAATTAAGTTTGGGGGACATGCTGAACTTGAGGTGCTAGTGACAACTTTAAGGTAGAAATGTGGAGTAGCCTATGGATAAGTGGGTCTGGAACTTGAGAGAAAGCTGGGCTAGAGATATAAATTCAGGAGCCACAATTCCATAGATCTTTAGAACCCTGGCATGGACAAGATCATTCAGGAGAAGGAATAGACTGAAAAAAGAAGAGGGCTGAGGCAGACTCCTGAGGAACAACAATAAGAAATGGGGGAAGTAAAGGAGCTCCTGAAAGGCTCATAGAAGGAGTAATCAGAGAGGTAACAGCCCGCTATGCTGAAGTCCCTGTGTATCACTAGACCAGGCCTAGCACTCCCAGTGTTCCTCAGCCTTGACCTAGGGAACCTCTTTCTGATGAAGTGTTTTAGTAAAGGAAACAAGTTTTCCCAGAGGTTAGACTGGGAGGCTGGCCCCTGAGTCACATGGGATGAGTTAAAAGCAAAGATGAATAATAGTCCTCTATGGGGCTGGCCCCATGGCTTAGCGGTTAAGTGCACGCGCTCCACTACTGGCTGCCCCGGTTCGGATCCCGGGCGCGCACCGACGCACCGCTTGTCCGGCCACGCTGAGGCCACGTCCCACAAACAGCAACTAGAAGGATGTGCAACTATGACATACAACTATCTACTGGGGCTTTGGGGAAAAGAAAGGAGGAAGATTGGCAGTAGATGTTAGCTCAGAGCCAGTCTTCCTCAGCAAAAAGAGGAGGATTAGAGTGGATGTTAGCTCAGGGCTGATCTTCCTCAAAAAAAAATAATAATAACAATACTCCTCTATGGACAAATGCTGAAGACTTTCAGGAGCGATTCCACCCAAATCTGAAAGTGGACTCTGTTAATAGGAATATGGCCTCCTCTCCTGAGAGTTCATTGCGGGAGTTGTACAGATTTCTCTAACTCCAAGTGATAGACTTGTGAACTCTGATATCACCATGAATTCCATCCCTTAGCAAATGTCAGCAAAGGTTAAAACAAGCAACTCTCAGTTTTAGATTCTTAAATACACAGGTTCAGGAATTTAAGTACACACATCTATATATACATGGCACATTATGAAGATGGTTGCAGCTTTATTTTAACTAGGATTCTCCCATGATCCCATCCTCCTAGTGATTTCACTCTTCATCATGAAGCATATTCTTCACATCATTTCAAGTGACTTAAAAAAGGTAATGTCTCCTTTAAAGACCAGATGGAAATGTGATCTAATCACGTCAGAAGGACAATAGAAATTCATCAGAACCTGCAGAAGCCCACAGGAATGATCTACAGTCACAGTTCCCTGAAACATAAACATAAGGAGCTTCTGTGGGCTCTTACACAGGACTGTGTCTGCAGAAGCTCTTATCCAGCTAGGTTGGTGTCCAGATAGAACCTCTTATGGAGTGGAGGACAGGTCTTGGCAACTTTCCAGTCTGGGCAAAGTGGATGCTTGGTCACCAGTGTTGGTGAAACTATAGGCCAAAGAGGGTCTCCTCTGCCTCCTCCACCAGGGAAGATAGCTACAGATCAAGTCCATTTGCTGGGTCAATGTTACAGAGATATTTCTCCAGCAGTTGTTGGACTGATATGTGGTACTTAATCGAATACAAAATTACACACACAATGTGTTCTCAACTGTATTAACAAGAATCCATAGAAGGAGAGAAACACTCTGAAAAATTAACTGTGGTTATCTCTGAGTAGTGGGATAATAGATGACTTTTAAAATTCTCTTTTCTAGACTTTTCTGTGATTTCTAAGTTTCTTCAATGAGGATATCACCAATGTTATAATGAAACACTTTTTGATAGTGTGTTGTCTGTCACACTGTCAGCTTTGCACTGAATTACTAAGCCCACCTCTGGCCTCTGCCTCTAAAATGCAGGAGGTGGACATCAGGGCTGTCAAATCTCTCTGAGCAGGTTTGCCATTGGGGAAGTCTTCCTGTAGTGAACATCTAATGTTTGGCCTGCCCATCATCCATGGCATCTTCTTTTGCTAAAATCGCTGTCTCCCCTCCTACTCCACCCTCCTCCGCTAGGTACTACCAATAAAGTCGCCCAGTCAAGGAGCAGGCATGTAACCAAAGCTGACCATCGGACTGTCTTCTGGGAATTTGATCTTTTGCAGAGAGAGTGAAGATGGTTGGAGCTGATTCATGCTGACAGTGGACCCTGAAGAGACTACACCTTAGTCACTGCCCTATTCTGTCATTTTCAAGTTGGTTTTTCAGCTTTCCTTTGAGTCTGTGGACTCCTCCATATCCTTCCAATAAATCCCTGCTTCTCTTAAGTTACCCTGTCAGTTTCAGTTCCTTGTAACTAAAAAACACCACTGTTCCCCTGGATCCATCCAAGGAGGACCACTCCCGGCTGAATCTGTAGGTCAGTTGTTGCTGCAGGGGACCTTGTCTGTGCTAGTCTAGCTCCTCCCTATTCACCCAGAACTGGCTGCTTCAGGGCAGCCACCATTCCTGAAGGCCCTGTGGGTAGGGTACAATGGTGGTGACTCAAACTAGGGAAAATGTCTAAAAACACCCAGGAAGGCTCATCTGTGGACACTGTCCCTGGGGCAAGAGAGGCTTTGCTGGGGTCAGAATCTCAGAACTTCAGTTTGGAAAACCCAAGTCATCAAACCAGCTATCTACTCAACAGGGAATCTCTGCTCCAGCATCCTAGGCAGATAAGCATGGAAGAACCGGGGGCTTGCATATGAGATGGGGTGCCCCCTTATTGGTTTAGGATGACCAGTACTCCTATAACCAACCATATTGGTTCATATAATTTATCTCCCTCTTCCCCCCCAGCTCCACAAGGTCTTTAACAAATATCTTCCTGCTAAATAAGGTGAAGGATAAAAAGGA